TAGTAAGCATTGATGTATGTGTTTTTGATTTGGTATCTTTGTCTACGTATGTCTTTTTGACAGTCCTGTGTTTTCCACAGTTGCCTAGGATTTGTAACGATAAACTCTGCTCTGACATGTTATTCAGTCCTAGCCATCCCACGAGGTAACATGAATATAACTATTGTTTAGTTTGATAGAAGCAATGCATGTCCTCCAATTCATTATTTTCATGAATGGAGCTTTAAACATGAAAGTGTAGTTAAGCAATAACTCCATTATAGATAGCTATAGGAACTACTTAAAGAAGAGGGACTTCTTTAAGAGACTTTTATAGATGGAGAGGCACAGCTTTCACCTGTGAGGTATTTCAGTCTGTGAGTGCATCAAATCTTTACAGTTATAAGTCAAAGACAGAAGGAAAATAGAAGGGGTCTTGTTATACCATAACTGATTCAAGGAGTATACCTTTTTAGAGAGATCCTTTAACTTGTGCCGGTCCTGCCTTTAGTAGAGTACTTAGGACAGAAATCTAAAGACATTAAGTATAAATATATAAATACTACTGGGTGTATGTATAACAAATACAATGCCACAGTATTTAATCTCATATTTAAATATTCGGGGAAATTCAAATAACAGACTTTGTTTTCGTTTTTCTTTTTTTTCTTATTAAGGAAAATTCAAATATTGAGTAAAACAAAAAATATTCTACATAGAAACTAAAATATTTAAAAAGTGTATTGTTATATCCCCATTTTTTTTATTTGTTAGTTTTTGTTTTTTATTTTATTGTATTATTAATATTGTAATTTTTACATTCTACACTTATTGTATTACTTGTTACTATTTATATATACAATTATTTTAATGTGTAAAATTAAATAAAAAAACAGATACATAAAAGTGTATTGTTATCAATGTATTGCTTATTATCTCTGAGGATGGTACTGGAAACACAGAATATCAATGTATTTTTAAAAAAATATTTTATATATACACATAAATAACTCTGAGGATATTTTTTGCATCTTAGATACCACTGTAAATTTAGTTTTTTGGTTGTTGTTTTTTGTATAGACACATTTTTACTATTGCATCAAGTATATTACAAAACAAATGGGAATCAATACACATACTCCCACACCTCCTTTATACACATGAAAACAATAATTGGAGCTTGATTTACAGTAAGTTCACCTCATTCCACAAATTACTCTCTTACTGCCACTTAAGTTACACCTTCACTATTTATCACCACTAAAACAAAATTACACTCTGTCCAGTCTATTCCTACCTGATTTATTAAAGATAGCTCTCTACAAAAGTCTTTGTGATACAACTCTGTAACTGTGACAAAGGAGTGATGTCATAAAGTGAGCTGTGCAGAATAAATAATGGTTCAGGCACTTTATCAGTTCAAATTCCATAAACCACTTTAATAATTTGTAGCAAGCATGTCAAACTCAAAGGCTAACATGGGCCAAATAAACATGGTTTAAGTTTATGAGGGCCGCAAAAAAACAAAAACTTCAGTTTTCATAGAAACGTAGGCTTATTTAGAAAAGTACAGTATAAAAAAAGTTGCCTACCTGACACTGTATGTCCTCGCGCTTGTAGGGCTTCAAAATAAACAAAAGAGCGGATTTATTTTAAGGAGCCGTGCATTTGCATATAACCAATGTTTCAGCTCAACTACCTTGACATATTAAGAAAAGTTTGGTAATAGGACTGAAATGGTGAATGTATGCTGTTGCACAGCTGTAAAAAACAAATGACGCTATCTTGTTGCTTTTGAAGTCCTATGAGTGTGTTCTTCACTTTGGCTGAGATCATCATACTTGATGTTCTCAGTCAATTCAATGCTTTCCCGTAGGAAGGCATTGGGAGGCTATTGTGCATGTGTGGCAAAAAGCTGCACGGCCAAACAGGATCTCCCTGGGGAGCGTTCAGCGCCTCAATGCAGACCCAATCCAATGCACTGGTCCCTCACTCCATTCTAATACACTGTCCACAAATCAGTACATTTCCCAAAATCCAATCTAACACAGTGCCCCTTAATCTAATATACTGACCCTCCTCCCTCCACTCTAAATGAAAACACTGCCCCCAATTCCACCACTCTAATTTAATACAACTACCCCCCCCCAAATTAACACACTGTCCCCACTCCCAACACTCTAATTTAATACACTGCCCTTCCTCCCCCCAATTTAATACACTATAACAGCTACAGTTTTGTAAATATATCTTGGAGAAAATATGTATGTAATATTTTTATAGGGTACAAATAGTTTGAAAACGGTCTACAAAAGTTAAATACACTGTCAGTTTAAATGTTTTGTTTCTGGTCTTGACGGGACAAAAAAATATGTTTAAATTCAATACAAATGTAATCTAATTAGTGGAGCTACAATTAAAGATTCAGTTCATTTTGTGAACTTCACGTGTTCAATGAAAAATATCAGTTTTAATTGCCATCAGCAACTAATCTTCTATAAATAAGTAATATATTAAACGGGAAATCTGGCAAAGCTTATCAACAAAAATAAGGTAACTGTAAGTCCAAACCAATTAAAATGTGGATACTTGTAATGAAATGGACCCATATATTCTACCAATTGCTTGGCATTGAGCAGTGAGACTTCAGGGGCATGTTCTATATAGGCATAGGCAACCTTCGGTACTCCAGATGTTTTGGACTACACCTCCCATGATGCTTTGCCAGCATTGCGTGTATAAGAGCATTATGGGGGATGTAGTCCACAACATGTGGAGTGCCTAAGGTTGCCTATCCCTGTTCTATATACTACAACTGCTTCATTAAGCTAAAGTTGTTTTGGTAACTATAGCGTCCATTTAAAGTCAGTATGAGTTATACATTTGAGCAGGGCCTGACGTGAGAAACAAATTTGGCTGGAAATTTGTAATCACAGCGACCCAGTGGCAAGTGGACGGGGCCAGAAGGGGCAGGGGTGTCATGAAGCACGCCCCGTCCTCAAAATGAGTATGTTGATTCAATGCTATTCCATGGCAACCCTTGCCGGAGCCCTGCTGAAGAGCTCTTGCATGAGAAAGAGGCCGTGCATAGAGCAAGGAAATTTAAGGACACTTGTACTGAGTTTGTCTGACGAGAGGCTGTAGAGCGTGTAGTAGATGTTGTAATGTGTGTGTATAGGGAGTATAGTGTGTGTATAGGGGATGCAGTATGTGTGGGAAAAGGGGATGCCAAAAAATTCCCAAGTGAATAAGATGGCGCAGGTTCACTTTAAAAAGTGCACTAAATATGTAAATATTAAAGTGTCGCTAATCTCTGCATGCAGCAAGCACAAAACCCCTGGTAAAACTCTTCAAACCAAAAAATATAGATAAATGGCTGCGCAAATAAATATTACAATTAAAAATGTGATATTCCACAAAACTTTGTGAAAAAGTGACACCAAATATTTTCATGCAAATCAATATTTCAAAGTGCACAAGTGACAACAATATTCTCACTATGAACTAGGTAGCATTAATTGATTAGTTAAAAATGTCAATTTATACTAAAATCACCACAAAGGTGTGAAAGTGATTTTCATAAAAGCACAAACAGATGATATATACTTAAACAATACCCTTGTGAATCAAAAGTATCTAAGGATAAAATACATAAAAAACATCCTAGTGCAACATTGTAAAATAAAGTTAAAAACAAATGTAAAATCCATATTGGTAAACTCACAAGTACAGAGTGGTTAGAGTACCACTCCAAACTGTAGTACGCAGGGAGGCTCAGTCCCTTGAGTATGTGGGATCCAAGACTGCCAGCTGTACAGACTCACCCACAGCTGAAAAGATCTTACTTCCAATCTTTATTCAATTCCATACCTTTTAAAAACCATATAAGCGGCAAAGGCAAGCTCCTGAATGCAAAACACCACTTCACTTTGATGAGGATATAGTTCCACTTGTTCCTTTCTCTGCTTAGTTTTGGTGTCTCACTTAGTCACTGCTCAAGCAAGCACTTCCTACTTTTCGGCGAGGGACTGTGCTTTTATTAAAATCACTTTTACACCTTTGTGGTGATTTTAGTATAAATTTATGTTTTTAACTAATGAATCAATTAATGGTACATAGTTCATTGTGAGAATATTGTTGTCACTTGTGCACTTTGAAATATTGATTTGCATTAAAATATTTGGAGTCACTTTTTCACAAATCTTTGTGGAATATCACATTTTTAATTGTATAATTTATTCGCACACCCATTTATCTATATTTTGTAAAGGGGATACAGCGAGTGTGTGCACAGGCGCTGTAGTGTATGTGTGTAGGTGCTGTAGAGAGAGTGTGTGGTTTTTTTTTTCATACGCTCACTTCACATACACAGAACCAACAATACTTCCAGGTACTGACTTCAGCTCGGAAGATAATCCACCTAATTCATTCTTACTTTGTTACCATATTATCACTTGTTATGCTACTATAGTATTGTTACCATTTATACCTCTAGATTGCAACTGTAATTTTTAGACTTGATCAAGATGCATTCTTACAGCCTGTGAGTAATAAGAAATACCAAATTAGGGATTTTCTTACATGTGTAGAAGAGAAGTGGGAGTAGCGCTGTGGGGGTTGTCTCAAGCGGCACTCCACGCTTTCTGTAACTGAAATTTCAGAAGCTGGATGCCTCTTTGGGGGAGCTGAGATTGGCGCTGGAGTTATCTTCGAGAATGGTTTAACGATTTGAGGTAACACCATAACATCTCCACTTAGATAAAGTTGTTATGGTGCCTGGAGTGTTTATTTAATTGAAAATTTTAGGATAAAAAAAATCAAAACTGTGACAGTATGTCTTTTTTCCATCACAATTGCAATTCCTTGTCAAATTTCTAAACACCCTCTATCAAATTCACTTTACAGAAAATGCATGAATATAACAAAATAAGTTTGGTATGTAGAAGTTTCAGAAGACTGAACATGAAGATGAATACATGTTTAAAAAAAAAAAATAACTGGGGGGCGTGGCCGCGACTCGAATGGTGCTAGACCATGAGGGATTAGCTCCGTCAGCACACAACAAAAATAGCCTGATTCCACAGCACACTACAGGCAACCACACATTCACTAGCCACCCTGAACTGAGAGAAAGTAAGATGGCAAGCAAAACGGCCAACAAACAAAGACAGAAGGCCAGCTTACAGCCGCCAGATCCAAGATGGCAGCGGAGCCACGCGCTCCCGCAACCCTGCATTACGCAAGCTGAAGGGGACATCAAGCTCCTAACAGCGGATCTAAAGCATAATATAAGGGCGGATTTTCAAAAACTAGCCACAAATATCAAGAGAGATGTGCAAGCTATAGGCGATCAGACAGCTCATTTGAAAGATAAAATGGAGGAGGTCATTGAGGCCCATAACACCATGGCTGATGCGTATACTACGTTCCAATCCCAACTGCAACAGATGGAGAAGAAAATGGTGGACCTCGAGGACAGGGCCCACAGGAACAACATCATGCTGAGTGGCATACCCGAGGAAATCAAAGCTTCTGAATTGAAAGAATACGTCACGCAACTGTTTCGGGCTCTGCTGCCAGAGGCAAAAAAAACAGATTTGCATCTGGATAGAGTACACAGGCCAGCAGTGGTACCCAGTGACATGATTGTCCGTCCGAGTACACTTCTACACAATGAAGGAAAGGCTCATGCTGGCAGCATGAGACCCACGAGGCCTGGAAGATCGCTTTGCAGGAGTAGAACTGTATGCGGACTTATCCCCAGCCGCAAAGGAGAGCGTTCGCTCCATCACCAAAGGCTTGGGGGGTCGGGACTGGGGGAGGGTGGATGTCCATGGGTGAGGTGGTTCGGTGCCAGGACCGTAAGGTGCAACTTAACACAAACAAAAAAAAAAACACCAAAATAAAAATTAGTTGCAAAATTAAATGTAAATAATAATTAAAAAAAACTTTTTTTTAATTATCTGGGATACATAATTCTAGGAAGGAGGCATCTGCTTACGGCCATTACCCTCATCACTTATGCAATACAATAGACATGGGGCTGTCAGAACAGGGGACTCAGCTCAGGTTACAACAAGGTTACAACAATAAGTTTAGCTGGGTATGACAAGGTTTTTGATACACAACTAATGTACATATTCATTCATTAAGCTGAAGTTAAATGCAGCGACTACCGACGGTGGTTGCTTATGTTATACACTTTATGTATTATGGTGATAGAAACATAGAAACATAGAATGTGACGGCAGATAAGAACCATTCGGCCCATCTAGTCTGCCCAATTTTCTAAATACTTTCATTAGTCCCTGGCCTTATCTTATAGTTAGGATAGCCTTATGCCTATCCCATGCATTTACTGTGTTAACCTCTAACACTTCAGCTGGAAGGCTATTCCATGCATCCACTACCCTCTCAGTAAAGTAGTACTTCCTGATATTATTTTTAAACTTTTGCCCCTCTAATTTAAGACTATGTCCTCTTGTTGTGGTAGTTTTTCTTCTTTTAAATATGGTCTCCTCCTTTATTGTGTTGATTCCCTTTATGTATTTAAATGTTTCTATCATATCCCCCTGTCTTGTCTTTCCTCCAAGCTATACATGTTAAGATCCTTTAACCTTTCCTGGTAAGTTTTATCCTGCAATCCATGAACCAGTTTAGTAGCCCTTCTCTGAACCCTCTCTAAGGTATCAATATCCTTCTGAAGATACGGTCTCCAGTACTGTGTACAATACTCCAAGTGAGGTCTCACCAGTGTTCTGTACAATGGCATGAGCACTTCCCTCTTTCTACTGCTAATACCTCTCCCTATACAACCAAGCATTCTGCTAGCATTTCCTGCTGCTCTATTACATTGTCTGCCTACCTTTAAGTCATCAGAAATAATCACCCCTAAATCCCTTTCCTCATATGTTGAGGTTAGGACTCTATCAAATATTCTGTACTCTGCCCTTGGGTTTTTACGTCCAAGATGCATTATCTTGCACTTATCCACATTAAATGTCAGTTGCCACAATTCTGACCATTTTTCTAGTTTACCTAAATCATTTGCCATTTGGCTTATCCCTTCTGGAACATCAACCCTGTTACATATCTTAGTATCATCAGCAAAAAGACATACCTTACCATCAAGACCTTCTGCAATATCACTAATAAAAATATTAAAGAGAATGGGTCCAAGTACAGATCCCTGAGGTACCCCACTGGTGACAAGTCCAAGCTTCGAATATATTCCATTAACTACAACCCTCTGTTGCCTGTCACTCAGCCACTGCCTTACCCATTCAACAATATTGGGATCCAAACTTAAAGATTGCAGTTTATTGATAAGCCTTCTATGTGCAACAGTGTCAAAAGCCTTACTGAAATCTAGGTAAGCAATGTCTACTGCACCACACTGATCTATAATTTTAGTTACCTAATCAAAAAAAAATCAATAGGATTAGTTTGGCATAATCTCCCTGAAGTAAACCCATGTTGTCTCTGATATTGAAATCCATGTGTTTTTATTTTTTTTTATTTTTTTTATTTTTTTTTCTTTCCATTATATTTCAGACAATACCCACTTCTTTATATATTTCAGATATATCATCATATATGAGTGGGTATATAAGTCATCATAAATACGTATTAACCCCTCCCCGATCCCTCCATCCCTCCTCCACTTAGAACCATTAACTATCAGCTATCCTTACTCTTTATATATTGTGTTCTACTGAGACATGTTAAGATGACCAAAGTGATGGTACCTCATTTTTAGAACAATAAAGGGAGAATGAAAAAGGATACAACAAAGAGAGAGAAGGAAAAAAAAAGAAAAAAAAGAAAAAGCAACCTAACCACATTCATACAAACATTCACACCTAACCTTACAGCTTAGTGAGTCAGATTATATATTATCAATAGGAAATATCTACTATAACATTCTATTTAAATTTATCCTTCTAAGGAATCAGTTCGCTCTCTTGTTTCTCCAATTTAATTAGCCAATTTTCCCACATACTATACTCTCTATATTGATTTTTAATTTTATTCATCCCTAATTCCATATGAATCTGATATTTTAATTGTTGAATAAGTTGCTTCTTCAGGAATGGTTGCGTCTTTTTCCAATTTCTGGCAATAATAATTTTTGATGCTATTAAACAATGTGTTGTCAAAATTTGATTCGTTCTGCTTAGGGCAGGCCACCTTATATGTAATAACATCGCCTCTGGTGTCATTTTTATTCCTATACCATTTAACCTATGTAATAATAAATTGGCCATAGACCATAAAGGAATTACTCTCTTACAGCTCCACCATATATGGAGGTAGTCTCCTTTCTCTTCTCCACATCTCCAGCACAGGTCATTGTTATCATTAAACATTCTTGATATTTTTGAGGGGACTAAATACCAATTATTTATCACTTTAAAATGCGTTTCAATCAGGGAGAGACTATGCACATATTTATTTGTTTTCCTTATAGCAGCATACCATTCTTCTGAGTCTATGGGGAACTTCAGAACTTTTTCCCAACTTTTTATTGCCGTTGGGCAATTCTCTATTTTTATTATATCAAAGAATTTTGTACAGATAGCAAAAAGGTTTTTTGACTCTTTTTTTGAGAAGATTATTTTTAACGCATTATATATTTCCCCACTATTTACAAAGGTTTTAGACTTCAGATAATTCCTAACTCTTAAATAAGAAAATGCCTCTCTATTTGGGAGAGAAAATGTCCTTATCAATATATCGAAAGTCTTTAGCTCACCATTTAACATTAAATCTTCAATCTTTCTGATATTTGCCTCTCTCCATACTTTTAAGGAAATATTTGTTATATCTATTTCCAGACTCTCTATATTTTGAAAACCCAAGAGCTTATTCTTAATATCTGCTTTCATCTTTATTCTTTCCCATATAGGGATAATTTGATCCAGTATAAATGATAGTGAGTAATCATAACTTTTGTTGTTCCATATAATATTAGATAAATTTTTTGATTGGCATAGAGCTGTTTCTATCCTCCCCCATGCCTCTTTTTGATATATCTCCCTTTGTAACATTACAATATGATAAGTTATTCTGGCTTCATAAAATTTTTCAATATCTGGAAAGCCTAGTCCCCCTCTATCTGTATTAGAGCACATAGTGTTGATCTTGATTCTGGGCTTTTTCCCTCTCCACACGAAATTGGCAAAAGAAGATTGGATCATTTTCAGCCAGGGTATGGGGATAATCAGTGGTAACATCCTAAATAAATAAATCCACTTAGGGAGCACATAATGTCTTAAGGTATTAACTCTACCCCACCACGAGATTTCTAAATGTCGCCATTCCTTTAAATCTTTGTTTGTTTTTTTCAAAAGGTGTATAAAATTGGATTCCATAATTCTTTCTAGCTTTTTGTTTATTCTTATACCTAAATAAACAAATTCTTCTGGTTGTAAAAAGTTAAATTTATTTTGTAATTCAATTATTTTATCCGAAGATATGTTCCTGTACATTGCAGTAGATTTAGAAGGGTTCAATTTATAGTTAGATACCTTACTATACTGTTCTATTTCTGTTAACACAAAAGGGAGAGATTTTTCAGGATCCACAACATATAAAAGAGTATCATCTGCATACAAGGAAATCTTTAAATCTCCCTTAGAGATTGGTAGACCCTTGATTAATGTATTTTGTCTAATTTTTGAAGCAAAAATTTCAACCGTAATTATATACAGGATTGGCGACAGGGGACATCCTTGTCTAGTGCCATTTTCTAGACTAAACCAATTCGAACATATATTTTGGCCAATAGACCTTGCCACTGGTTTCTTATAAAGCGAACCTATCGCATCCAACACCCATCCCTTAATATTAAAGGCCTCTAAAGCCTTAGTCATGAATCCCCAGCTGACCCTGTCAAACGCCTTCTCTGCGTCTAATGACAGGATCAGCAGGGGACTACTTGTCTTGTCTGACAGGTCCATTGAATCCAATAACCTTCTGATATTATTACCTGAATTTCTTCCAGGGACAAATCCGACCTGATCTGAGTTGATAATTCCGGGCAAGACTATTTTTAATCTTTTTGCGATAATTGACGCAAAAAGCTTAACGTCCACATTTATCAAAGAGATCGGTCTGTAGGTTTTACGTCCGTTGCTATTTTGCCTACTTTCAGGATTGGAAGAATATTAGCTCTTAGCATTTCTTGTGGAAATGCTCCCCTATTTACAGCTTCATTGAATGCTCTTGTTAATGGATCAGCAATTATATCTTTCATTACCTTGAAGAACTTATTGCTAAAACTATCAGGTCCAGGAGTTTTATAATTAGCCAAAACATTTATTGCATCTATTACTTCTTCTTTAGAGATGGTTTTATTTAGTAAATCTAGTTGATCTGATGATGTCTTTGGTAGCTCCAGGTCTTTTATGTACTTATCTATGGATTCTTCTGTAGAACTGTCTGACAGGTTATAGAGTGACTTATAAAATTGATTAAAGATCTCACCTATCTCGTTTGGGGCTCTATATGTATTTCCCTCATGGACAATTTTATCTATACGATTGTTTGCGAATTTCTTTTTCAATTGATTTGATAAAATCTTATCTGCTTTATTTTGTCGATAGTAATATCTGATTTTTAGTTTAATCATCTTCTTTTCTATATTTTCTGATATTTTTTTCTTAATACTTTGTTTAATACTAGCTATTGTTATTTGACCTTCTTTGTCTGGTTTTACTTTGTACTGTTTTACGGCTTTAAACAATTGAATATATAACTCTGATAAACCTGATCCTTCTATTTTCCTGGCTCTGGTCTTCATATTTATACAGTATCCTCTGATGGTAGCTTTATATGAGCACCAAGTATTTAATTCTGAAGTATCCTCTGGGCTATTTTCCTCAAAAAAATGTTGTGACCATTCCTTTAATAAATTCAGATTTTCGATACTATATAATATTGAATCGTCTAGTTTCCAAGTGGTTCTGGGATGATAATGTTTCCCATCCTTTGTATCCATAATAATGATATTGTGATCTGACCAAATCATTGTGTTTATGCTTATCTTGGATACTTTGTCTATGATTTTAGGATCTCCTAGGAAAAAATCAATTCTTGAGTGTGTATTATGCGGCCAAGAATAAAATGTATATTCTTTTACAAGCGGATTCCGAACCCTCCAGATATCATATAAAATTGTTTTTATGAATTATATTCTGGAAAGTATTCGCATTTCTCAACCCGTTTTTGTCCACAGAAGTCTTATTAACATTAAATTTATCCAGTTCCACATCCAAAACACAGTTAAAATCTCCACCTATTACCACATATCCCATAGATACTCTTTCAACTCTTTCTAGAATATGGGAGAACAGTCTCATCAACATTAAATTTATCCAGTTCCACATCCAAAACACAGTTAAAATCTCCACCTATTACCACATATCCCATAGATACTCTTTCAACTCTTTCTAGAATATGGGAGAACAGTCTCATCGGATTGTTATTTGGTAAGTATACGTTCACTAATGTGTACAGTTCCCCATTGATTTCACAAATCAGTATTAGAAATCTCCCCTCCGTGTCAATGTCCTCATGCTTAATTTCTACTTGTAATGATTTAGAAAAGCCTATAGCCACCCCAGCTTTCTTTTCATCTTTTTTAGAGGAAGTTATTACTAAAGGGAAATTATTACCAAACCATCTAGTGCTATCTCCTGCAATCCAATGGGTCTCTTGTATCAAAATAATTTGGATTTTCTCTGTCGTTAAATAATCTCTAAAAGCCAATCTCTTATGTAAAATATTTAAACCCTGAATATTTATTGTGGCAAATTTAACCATACCCTATCCTAAGTCTCTGACAGCTGGCATTTCCTCAAAACTAATCTGTAAACCCACGACGCTGTACCTTCTATACACACTAACCATTTACACACAATCATACATTCTTCTATACCTTGGTCTCCAATCTTAAGAGACCTTCTTCTAAACATAATTGATTACCTTAATAAGGCAATCACTAAGTTCTACTTAGAACTTATAGGCAGACTACGCTGGTCTATAGAGGTGGCGAAAAAGGGAAGAGAAGAGGAAAGAGAAAAAAAAAAAAAAAATACCTAAACTGCAGTGATATATTGAGCATTTTTATAAGTGTGTATTAATAACATGCAAGCCACATATTCTATGTTTCTACTCCTTATTTGGGATTTGTGGATTATTTGACGAGTGTAACTACATAATTTTCAATTCCCATTATTTCTATATATTATATCTAAACTCGTGCTTTCGTAATATTTTATTCTATACTCATCTTTACTCAGGTGAATTTCTTATTTATCTACTTAATGTAGTCTTCATTATTATCTCACACGAAAAAAAAAAAAAAATAATTCATCCCTCTCTTTCCCTTCTTAACAGGTTTAATCCTATTGCATCATCTTCTTATCTTTTAGCCAAGCTATAGCTATATCTACTGAGTCTAAGACTTCAAGACTCTCATTTGTAAATATTCTTATTGCCGTAGGAAATCCCCATGTATATTTAATCTTCTGGGTTCTCAATATTTCTGTGAGAGGGGCGAATGTTTTTCTTTGCATTCTAGTTGCATAGGATAAGTCTGGAAACACAGCTATATCCTTATATTCTTCTCCTTGAGGTTTCCTGACTCTACTTGCTTTCAAAACCTCCTCTTTAAATTGGAATGATTGGAAGCAACAAATTATATCTCTTGCTTTGGTTTCTGGGATATTTTTAACTCTATACAATCTATGAAACCTTTCCAAGGTACAGTTGTATTTATCTGTCTCTATCCCCCAGGCCTTCCATAGATTAACTAGAAATTCTAAAATCTTATCCTGGGTGATCTTTTCTGAGATGTTTCTTAGTCGCAAATTGTTGCGTCTTGAGCGATCCTCCAAATCACTTATTTTTATTTCCAAATCTTTGATTTTTTTCGCCATTTGAATATGCCGATCTTTCAATAATTTTTCCTGAAATTCCAGGCAATTAATTTTTTCTTCAGCCACAGTTATTTTCTCGGTTAGGAGTTTCATTTGATTTAAGATCACCTCTGAGTTCTGATTTATTTGCTTCATTAGTATATCTGGCTGGGAGTTTAGACATCTCTCCAAAAACTCTGTAGTGATGTAATTACTCACAGAGTTTTCGGAACTGTTTAATGTCTGATCTAGTTTTGAATTTGATAAGACGTCTTCCTCTGTCTTTTTTTTATTATCTGGTGAAAAAAAAATTATTGCTTCTCTTCCTGATTTGAGATTTTTCTTGTCTCTTTTTAAGGTTGCTCTCTCCTGTATTTTAGATGCCATGTCTTCGTGAGGCTTCCACAGTCCTAAGTCCTCCAGTATCTGACTCTAATATTTATATATTTGTCTATTTAGCTATTTGGCAGAGAGAAAGGGCAAACAGTTTGGAGTAATAGAAAAGATATAAAGGACTTAACATCAATCCACCCCTGGGGATATAGCACTGGTTGTCTAATCATCGGCCTTAAAACCTTATATCATTAGAGAAAGATATAAAGATATAACTCAAAGCTATAGCTCGTGCTTTAGACCATAAATTACATAGGATGCCTAGGTAGGATAGCATAAGATTATATGTGCTTATCTGATGCCTTTCGGCTGCTGCATATATTCTCCGTGCTCCGAGCTCCGTCCCCCCAGATGGTCGGTATAAACCGATTTCCGACCCGTTCCAGCAGAGCAAAATCCTCCGTACAGAGCTCACAATGCCGGCTCGGATCCCTCCACGCTTCCCGCCACGCTCATCCTCCTTCTACCAGCGTAGCTCCGCCCAGTCGCACGTGCACGTCCGCTGCTACGTCATCGCAGCCGCTCTTCTAATGCATTAATCGAAATCCATGTGTTTTTAGATGTTCATCAATCCTATCCTTTAACGTGGTTTCCATCACTTTTCCCACTACTGAAGTAAGGCTTACTGGCCTATAGTTTCCCGACTCCTCCCTATTACCTTTCTTGTAAATGGGCACAACATTCGCTAATCTTCTGGGACTACTCCTGTTAACAATGATTGGTTAAATAAATCTGTTAATGGTTTTGCTAGTACACCACTAAGCTCTTTTAATAGCTTTGGGTGTATTCCATCAGGTCCCATTGACTTATTTGTCTTTACTTTTGACAGTTGAAATAGAACCTCTTCCTCTGTAAACTCATGTGTAATAAATTACTCATTTATCCTTTTTCTCAACTGAGGTCCCTTTCCTTCATTTTCATCTGTAAATACAGAACAAAAATATTAATTGAGGCAGTCAGCTAGACCTTTATCCTCTTCTACATACCTTCCTTCTTTTGTTTTTAATCTAATCCTTGTTTTACTTTTCTTTTCTCATTTATGTATCTAAAAAATGTTTTATCCCCCTTTTTTACTGACTGTGCTATTTTCTCTTCTGTGTGTGATTTGGAAGCTCTTAGAACTTGCTTAGCCTCTTTCTGCCTAATCTTATAGATCATTTTGTCTTCCTCACTCTGGGTTTTTTTATAATTCCTAAATGCTAACTTTTTGTTTTTAACTATTTTGGCCACATCTGCGGAGTACCACAGTGGTTTCTTGAATTTTTTGCTTTTACTGACAAGCCTAATGCAATTTTCTGTTGCCTTCAATAGTGCAACTTTTAAATAATCCCATTTCTCTTGGACTCCATTTAAATTGCTCCAGTCTGATAATGACTCCTCTACCCATATTCTAATTTTAGAAAAGTCTGCTTTTCTAAAGTCTAAAACTTTTGTTTTTGTGTGGTGTGACTCAGTCACTGTTCTTATGTTAAACCACACTGACTGATGATCACTGGATCCTAAACTTTCACCTACAGTAATATCTGATACCAAATCTCCATTTGTTAACACTAAATCTAGTATGGCCTCTTTACGAGTTGGCTCCTCAACAACTTGTTTTAGAGATATTCCCAGTAGGGAGTTTAGAATATGTGTGCTCCTGGCACAAGTAGCTAATTTTGTTTCCCAATTTACATCAGGAAGATTAAAGTCACCCATGATGATAACTTCCCCCTTCATTGTCATTTTAGCTATTTCCTCAACTAGTAGATTATCTAACTCTTCAATTTGTCCTGGGGGCCTATAAATCACACCTACACGAGTTACTGTGTGATTACCAAATTCTAACTTAGCCAAACGGACTCTATGTTTGCCTCACTAACTTTTATTAGGCTAGATTTTATGCTATCCTTCACATACAAGGCCACCCCTCCCCCTTTCTTGCCTTCCCTATCTTTCCTATATAAAGAGTACCCTGGTATTGCTATGTCCCAGTCATTTTTCTCATTATACCATGTCTCAGTAACAGCAACTAAATCTACACTATCAGTTGCCATTATTGCCACAAGTTCATGGATCTTATTCCCTAAACTGCGAGCATTTGTAGACATGACTCTAAGCTTATCATTTTTAACACACTTGCTACAGGCACCTTCTGTCCTTGTTTTGGGGGACAATTGGATTGATGTTTTATCACCCTTTTGCCCCCCCCTCCTAGTTTAAATACATCCTAGCAAAACCTCTGAACTGTTCACTGAGAACATTTGTTCCCTTTTGAGAAAGATGCAAACCATCTTTTTTGTACAGCTTATCTCCATTCCAAACAGAGCTACCATGAGAAATAAAGCCAAATCCTTGCTCTAGACACCATTCACCAAGCCACAAGTTAAAGTCCCTAATACGCATCCGCCTGTCATTCTGAGTGTTATGTACAGGCAGAACTTCAGAGAATGACAATGTGGAAGCAACCTGCTGTATATCATTGGCAAAAACACTAAAAACTTCCTTAACCTCTGAAATCTCATTGCAAGCCAAGTCATTTGTCCCTAGATGGAAAAGTACATCCAATTCCCCTTCCTGCTTTGCTTGCGTAACAATATTACAGATACGTCTCCTGTCTCTGTGAGCAGTAGCTCCGGGAAGACATCTCACAAGACCACCATTGTCCATCTCCACACCTCTTCTAATGGAATCCCCCAACAACAACTGCTTTCTATTAGGCCTCACCATAGTCTCCAAGCCGGTCTCCACAACACCACTAGCCTCAGTGCCTCTCTCCACAACACCACTAGCCTCAGTACCTCTCTCCACAACACCACTAGCCTCAGCACCTCTCTCCACAACACCACTAGCCTCAGTGCCTCTCTCCACAACACCACTAGCCTCAGTTGCTCTCACCACAACACCACTAGCCTCAGTGCCTCTCTCCACAACACCACTAGCCTCAGTGCCTCTCTCCACAACACCACTAGCCTCAGTGCCTCTTTCCACAACACCACTAGCCTCAGTGCCTCTTTCCACAACACCACTAGCCACAGTGCCTCTCTCCACAACACCATTACACTCTGAAAGTGCAGAAAATTAATTATGAAGAGCAACTGTGCAAAATGCCTTTTATCCACAACTCTAAGTCTACCAGATCCTACAGTAATCCATCTGCCATTCCTAGTATGTCTCTGCGGCAGTGGCTTTGCAGCAGTTCCAGTCTGAGTTTGTTTACCAGATAATTTACAAATCTCAGACTTCAAAAATACAATCTCCTGCCGCAAGATAGAGAACTGTCTATAGATTAGACAACAACCAAACCTCCAAAAAGTGGAACGTGAAACAAATGCAATTAGGAGAATAAATTTAAATCAAACAAATCTTAACTTTGTATTTATCCTCCTAAATACCTCAGATTACCTGCAGTTTATCTCCAGATTATCTCCAACTACACACTTAGAAACAGCACTCTCCAGAATATCTCCAACTACACACTTAGAAACAGCACTTAGAAGTAGCAACCAAGCTATATTAGCCAAGCTAATGACAACAGCCCTTATATAACTCCTAAAATCACCACCCACTAGGAATGTTTAACACCTGGGTAGGCCTCTGCTTATTTGCAAACAATAGCTAATTTAAACAGCAATCAATAGCAAGTAATCTAATCAAATGCCTTATAATTACCTACAGGAATTCAAACCTTGTGCAATCAGTAACCATTTCCTACAGATGAATCTTACCTGTAACAGTAGAAAAGAAAGCTCTTAGCACAACTCTTAGACAGTTGAAGCTTCTGTAAAACTCTCCAGAATATCTCCAACTACACACTTAGAAACAGCACTCTCCAAAATATCTCCAACTACACACTTAAAAACAGCACTTAGAAGTAGCAACCAAGCTATATTAGCCAAGCTAATGACAACAGCCCTTATATAACTCCTAAAATCACCACCCACTAGGAATGTTTAACACCTGGGTAGGCCTCTGCTTATTTGCAGGCAGAGTTCAAAATGCGGGACAGTTCCCAGGATCTATATTCAGTGTGACAGTACTAGAAAATGCGCCAACTATGAAAAGCTAAAACATCAACATCTCGGTTTTAAAATGACCTGTGCAACATATCTCAATAACTATAGAATATTTGTGTTTAAAATACATAATAATGTACAGTTAAGTCCCATTGTTTCAAGGTCAACAACATGCATTTAAATACCTAGGTGGCTAAAAATACCAAACATTTTTAGTGCATTTTTGTCATTATACTTTAAACTATAGTGCTTCTACAGATTTACCAGTTCACGGATTAACTGAACAAAGCGACCTTTAATGTTTATTAAAGTTCTTTATCTCTCACAGTTATATTTGATTTGTTTGTGTTTTACATTAAACTGAACAATTACAGAGCATAAGAGCTTGAAGTATCTTCAAGTAGAACACATTTCAACAGCTCTAACAGAAAATTGTATATTGGAAGACGACATTTGGCAAAGAAACCCAAATCTTTTGGACAACTGCCTGAAAGTACGGCTAAACTTTTTCGTCTTCTCAAGGGTGTACTATTGGAAAACAAACATACTAGTATATTATATTTTTTTAATGCTGCTGTGCATTTGAATGCTTATACAGTACTTATTGTTAATGAAGAATTAGCTTTGGGTATTACAGAGAAAATCATATGTACTCAAGGCAGCACAAAAATTAAATCTATCCATTTAATTTCTGTTACTAATTTGACATTCCATACAAGTATAAATATATGCCTCTAGTGTGAACTTGTTAATATAATATGATCACTGGTTTTGGACCAATATAATTACACGTTGTTTTAATTTTAACATTTCCATTTGAATAATGTAATGCATGGTGTTTTTTTAAATACATTCAGAATTCTAATTGTACAATTATTCATGATTTATTCTAAATCCTGTAATTTTAAGCTCTGTGTAAGGCTCTATTCAATTTATGGTTAAGAATACTAAATGGATGGTCAACATGCATTCAATATTCTTAAATTAATTTAATATAAATACATACTGACAGTTTTGGGGGTGTTTTGGTTTACAGAATTACTCAATGGCAACCCATACCTACCGTTGATTGATCAAATACTTGACAATATCCTTGGCCAAAATGGGATAAAGAAGGCTCTTAGCTCTAGGTCAGCAAAGGAGCCATGATTCCACAGTCTATTTATAGGCATACTATTAAAAAGATGTTTGGCAATACACGGAAAGTAATTTTTCTATATAGTCAGTCTATTCTAAAAACAAAACAATATGTGTGGGTATTGCTGGTATACTTTCTTACTACTTGTGATAAAATATTGCATGAATCCATAACATTTAATGGAAAATACATATCTAAATTTATTGTATTCACGTGCCTATTGTATTATCCTCCTCTGTCTCATTTATATGTTATCAATTGTAATATGAGGAGGTGCTCTAATGATAGAGCTATATTTGAACTTATACCAGTACAATATTATTGATGTCATTTTTAATCTTTGTATAAACATGGTTGATGGAAAGTTTATGAGCGATTTTGAGTTCTGTTCTATAAAG